TGGGGCCCACTCTCGTGCACACAAAAGCTTTGGGACGTGTACTAGGGTGATTAGCCTTTAGGGCAGCTTTGCGTACGTATAACCAGAATGGCCTTGCCTTGTACATCGAGATTACTCTGTACATAAGTAAGGCTATTCATTGGGTACCTTTTTGGTGTGATTTTCGAGTATTATACAGCCTATCAGATTACAGACTACAAAATTTAGTTTATCCAGTGTAAAGAATAAAGCTTTTCAGCATGATTTTTCAGCATTATACAGTTTATTAGATTTTAGAAATAGAATTTAGCTTATGCAGTTTACAGAATAAAGATTTGTATGATTCTAGTATTTTTTAGTTTTGATGGTATTATCAGATTTCAAATTCCAGTATTTAGCTTATTCGGTTTAAAGAATAAAGATTTTAGTTTATTGTACCGTGAAAGAAAATTTTTACCAGGTACCGGGTTTTCAAAAAGTTGTTATAAAGGGAAAAGCATACTTTTACAAAATATCCACTCACTAAGTTACAAGCTCATATTTTGTCACCCTTTTTCGTAGTAGATAGTAGCTGCGTTGAGCCACATTGGAGCATGTCGACTACGGTTGAGCCACATAGTGTCATTTCTTGTATGTCTCATCCTGTTTGTTAATACATCACATATTTTTGGGATTGATGCATCTTTTATCAGAAAATGTATTTATATTACAGGCTCACTGCATATTTTTATATATGTTTTGCAAATGGGGTTGTCTGGTTTGTAAAGGAGTGTAAATTTCTTTCCAATACACTTATTTTGAATAGCTGGTGTTTTGAGGAGCTAAAGTACCCTATTATATATTATTGTGTTGAATTGAGGGAAATTGATTATTGTTCAGGGGGTTTTAATTCATATTTCGGAGGAAACTTTGTCAAATTTTTTTTTTTTTAAATACGTCACAGTCAAAACAGGTCAAGTCTGCCTTGGTGGTAGGTCCGACACTTAGCTGGTGTCTATTATCGACGCACGATAGGTGTCGAATCCATTAGAGTGATTCGGGATGGGTCTTGTCACAATTTTTATACACACATATCATTTTTCACTCATACAAATTAAGTTTTATATGATAATTTCACACTAGACATGGAGTCAAAAGTTCACTAAGTTCCCAATCATTGTCCATTAGCCTAATTTTATATTATCATAAAATTTATTTCATAGTGTAAAATCATAGATTCTATGTCAGAATAACTCTCGCTAAATTAAACAATTAATCATGTACAAAATAAGCAAGACATTTTAACTATATGTGATAAATATGAAACATATATATAAATCTAAAAATGTTGAATATGTAAATACGATCATATTAAGCTTTTTTAAACGACTATTAAACATGGGAAACTATAATTTCACATAGATATTGTTCGACAACTTGGACTAACCATATATATCTAGATTAATTATAAAATTCTCATTTTCAGAATTCAATTTTCTCATCAAGATCCTAATCAAATAGTTGTAGCATAGATGTAGTGAATTATCCAGAACTTTAATAGCAACATCATGCCGATTTTTAGGAATTGTCCTTATTAGATGATACATAATTTTGACCTCACATATAGGTTATCTCAAATGTATCACTTTTCGATGCATTGTTTCGAGATATTTTATGTGTTGTACTAGGTTATGTCGTGATCCATTTCATAGTTTCTATAAGTACTAATTTTTTAACACGTTCAATAGCACATGCTTTACTAACTTCTTCTCTAAGGATTACAAAAATGCGCATTGATCAAGCCCTATTTGATCAAGTATAAAAATTGAAAACTAGTCACAATGGATTGCATAACCTAAGCAAGATCCACACCATTTATGAACATATAGAAAATGTGGTATTTCAAGCACTTTCAAAGTTTTTTTCATTTAAAAATAAATAAATCAGAGCACTTAAAAATAACTCACACTAGGTAAATACCACTTAAATAAATGTTCTTGATTTTTATAAAAAATTTCAAAATTTAATCAAGTCCAAAAAAATATTTTTAATATTTTTTATAAATTTATTTCAATAAAAAAGTAACAAAAAAAAAAAGGAATTTGATTATCTGAAATTATTTTAAATGCCTAAAAAATCAAGAATATTTCAGGGACCAATTTGCAATTTTCTAAATTGAATTTAGAATAATCAACTTCCAAAAAATAATTTTGGGATCAACATACAACTTTTCAAATTGGTATTGGAATAAACAACATCCAAAAATAGTTTTGGGACCAACATCCAAATTTTCAAATTGCATTTGAAATAATTGACATTTAAAAGTGTGGGGACCAACATGCAATATCTCAAATTGCATTTGAAATATTTATCGTCCAAAAGTGTGGGGACGGACAGGCAATATCCAAAATTGCATTAGGAATATTTATCATCCAAAAGTGTGAGGACCAACATGCTATATTCAAAATTGCAATTGGAATATTTATCATCTCCACATGCAACACAGTTTCTCTCCTTTTTTTCCGATTTACTGTTCATCGTATTCTTTTTTGGGCAGTTTTTTTCTGATTTTTTTTTTTAAATTCAAAATCCATAACTTTTTCAATTCAAAGTCAAAATTTATATTCTTTATACCATTGAAAAGATCCTTGGAAGAACTATCCAACCATATAATATGGGTGATATGAAACAAAATGTGCAACAAATTATCATGCAATGAAGTTTCGATTTTCTCAACTGCGGTTCAATTTTTCTCCCAAAATTACAAATCCAATCAAAGTGAAATTTTTCTAATATGTTCTACATAGTATCATGAACATATAGTACAAATTTTATGAATTTATATGGAATATATCAAAAAAAAACAACCTGTTAAAGCTCTGATACCAATGTAAAATGTGCTTGCATGCTTCTAATAGAATTCAAAATTGTAAAACTTATTTGAAATCACCAAAATTAGGTTGAATCACTTGCTTTTTGTTTGCATGACTTCTACACTGCCTTGTACTCACTCCTTGGTCGAAAATTCGATCACAAAGAAAAGAATTTGGTAGCCACAGTTCAAAAACAAATTTAGAGATAATATACTTCTAAAATCAATCCATCACCCTCATCATGGGCGGACCCAAGAGGGGTCTAGGGGGGTCACTTGACCCCCCAACTTCTGAGATTTTCCCATTTTTTTTTATAAAGTCATGTTTGATATCGATTGAAATTTAAATTTTAATCTAAATCAAAGTTAATAATTAGTTTTAATAACATATTTCATGGTTCCTTAACTTTTCAATTTTATTAAAATCTACTAAAAATCAGACTTTAATCCCTACCAATCAGGGGCAAAATTACAATAAATTTGAATTTCCTATCTTTTTTATTACTCTATCGTATTCTCTCTCTCACGCCTTTTACCAAAATCTTAACCCTTCTAATTTTTTAAAATTTGTTTATAATTTTTCTACAATTTTCACATCTACTACAAATTTTCAACCAATTAGAACTTAAATTTGAATTTTTTTTTTATCTTATTTGTGTATATAGCACGTGTCTAAACTGATTATATAAAATTTAAGTTATATCTAACGAATTGTGTTTATTTGACTGATTATTAGTATTGAATATTTTTGTTTTTTGTTTTTTCTTTTGATTACTTGAATTGATTGTTTGTATCAAATACGAATTTTTTTTAAAACATAAATATGTATTTTCTTGTGATGAGCAAAATATTAATAAAATAATTGTTCAAAATCAAATAGATGAAAATGATGAGCTAAATATTAATGAAGAGATTTTTTTAAATGTAAATTTGCAATTTTTCGAGTAAATATAAAACATTCAAAAATCAAGAACAAAGTATTCGATTTGTACAAAGTTTGATTGTGCCCTCCTAACTCAAATTTTCTACGTCCGCCCCTGACCTCACGTATTTTTCTCTCTCTATATTGCCATACAAATTTGTATGCATTCGTATCATATTCTTTATTGTGGAAGTAGTATATGGGAGTTATGGGTTGTGGGAAGTTGAGTTTCAAATGCAATTTTCTCAGCTTCCTCAACTTCTCCCTCCAATCATACTCTCATGCAATTCCGGTCGAGTCAGCCACATGGTCGACCGGTTTCCTTCCAACATGGTGCATGGATGAAAGAAATGGATAGGCGATGCCTGACATGTAATGCAGCCTAGAAAAATGTAGCTGCAGGCCCGAAATTCAAATAAGACAGGACATTGGGGGAATTTCCAGCTAGCTAAGTTCACCTTGTAGCTATTACATGTTCTGGTAACATGGCAGAAATTAGACATGTGCAGGCTGTTTTATAGCATGCCAGATGTTACCTCGGACGTGGGCGGTTTTCAACAAGTTTCCTAGCCATTTCTAGAAGTTGAGGATGTCAATTGAATGAATTTTACATACTTCGGGCTGTTAGACACAAAGCATTGAGTGCATTATTGTGATCCTAAGTCTTTGTAAAGTGTGTAGTTTTATTTGGCAATAAAAGTTGGCTAATTACACGTACGTGTAGTGTTGTTTAATGCTTTAACATCCCATTCATTCTCATGTCGCTGTTGGTTTTACCTTAGTGAATTGAGTGTTGCTGGCTAACTGGTTTAAGAAAATATAGTGCCTATCAAACAAAAGTTTTGCCAAGTATTTGGCCTAAAATTTGACCCATGTAATACGAGGCCAAACATTGCTTGTGGAGTTGGCGTCATAAGGAATCGGGAGTAAAGCAAGGCAATTATGCTTTGTGACAATCAGAAACTCGAAACCCTTGCTTAAAAGCTAGACTTACCTTCAAAATCATTTTTTTTTTCGGTCATACTATTCAATACCATCAATACCTTTAATCAAAATCGTTGCTTTATTCTATAAGACTCCCAACCGCACCCGATACTGCCCATGAACACACACGGAGAGACATTACTTGCCTTTTCGAGTACCTTGACAGGCGTTGATTACGATATCAACCCCACCAATAATCCTAAATGCTCGCACATGCCTACGACAGAATGAATAATCATTGTGAAACTCAGAAGAAGCCTAATCTTAAAAACAGTGTTACAGCTCTTTTTTTCCCCGTAATATACATGCTTCGAGGAGAAGCCAATACATATATAATCCAGGAATAAAAGGAAAAGTTGTTATTTGTTCTCTACGTACTATAAGAAACAGACGATTTACCAGATTCTTTATCCCACTATTCATTATGGAACTAATCTCTGTGACAGAAAGAAAAAGTATAAAACCATAGTTCGTTAAGATCCTTGAAATGAATTAACTCAGAATTTAAGATCAAATGTGTTGTTGCTTGATAGGATACTGATTTTCTTGTTGGGCGCCAGGTTATCTACAAGCAAAGAACAATTGACAAAAACCACAAATTGCCTCGTCGGAAAATTTCCCACCACCACGCTTACAGGTACCTTCACCTTGACAAGCAATGGAATCCTCTTGTTGTCTCTACTTGCTGTATAAGCCTCCTGGAGACCTGATCCGAACTCACTTTTCCCTTTCAAATCAACCTTCATTATGGTTGTGTTCTTTTCACCCTGATGGAAATTTGGCAGTTTTCCCGTGCAAAGATTTGAATCTGTATACATGACAATAACCGAGCTATCCTTTCCATATACGAATCCAATATTGCTGTTTGGATTGTCTGCTATGACAGTGACAATAAATTCTGTTTTGAGACTGAAATCTGGCTGAACATCAAAGGCCTTAACCTCAAGTTTTTCTACCTTGTAGGAAGGCATTTGGGGCTCGTACACAGCATAGAAATAGACAACGAGAAGGGCCAAAATGACGATGAGGACAAATAGGCAGCAATAACACCAGCAAATGCGCCTATAGCAACTTCTGCCACTTGATCTCTTGTGGTAGTCGGAATGGTATCGAGGGACATTCCGCCCATAAGGGGGAGGCCGGAAATTATTTCCGCTGCTTCCCTCAAGCATGACATAGGGAGGTGCACTCATTGTGGAGGTTGATCTTCGAATCACCAGAGATGAAGAAGCACCAAAAGAGGAGGTAGAAAGAGAGGCCGTTCTTCATCCTCCCTGACAAAATTTGGACCACAGAGAGAGAAAGAGAAGTCAAGAGATTGTTGTTCCTACGGTTAAGGACTTCGCTACGTATGTGTGGTTTAAGATTAAAACATAATGTATGTAGTATCAAGTAAATATTAACATGCAAAACGTTAGGAAAATATTCCTTAAATTGTCGTCATGTCTTAATCTTGAATCTTGAAGCTAGTGAATGTTCAATTTCCTTGTACTATTCATTGAATGAAAAATAATGCTATATATCACCAGTTGTGTTGAACACCAGTCTATGGGCCATAATTCTTTGTATTTAATTGAGCATATATTTTAAGGGTAATTAGTACAAAACGTCTCTACTTTTCGATGTTTTTTGTGGAAAACGTCCATACCTTTTGTTTTTTGATGGATTACACCCTTACCGTCACCTTTTTTTGCGCAAAACGTCCTTCTGTTAATTTCCCGTTAAAATGTTCCATTAAATCAAAAGGTAATTAGCATAAAAGGTCCCTACCTTTCAATATTATTGTGCAAAACATCCTTACCTTTCATTTTTTGGTATAATTAGCATAAAATGTCCCTACCTTTCAATGTTATTGTGCAAAACATCCATACCTTTCATTTTTTAGCATTTTCACCCCTACCTTTCACCTTTCATTGCGAAAAAAGTCATTCTCACCCATTTTTTAATAAAATGACGATTTTACCCTCCTATTCAAATAAAACAAAAATAAAAAAGGAATTACCAGCTGCAACCATAGTCCTTAAATTTTTAAAAAATTACAAAGAAATCATAAATTCTCAACCACCACCACTTTCATAACCTATCAAGCTGCCAACTATAAATCAACATAACACCACCTTTCGGCCACCATGTCCACCGGATTCCAACACTGTAAATGTGGTTGTTTTGGACAGACTGGTGACCAATACTATGGAGGAGGATATTGGGGAGAGTGAGGTGAGGCTAGTGGTAGTGGAGTCCGAAAGGTGGTGCTATATGGATCTATAAGTGGTGGCTTGGTAGGGTTGTGAAACTGACGATAGTGGAGAATTTATGATTTATTTGTAATGTTTTGAAAGATTTAAGACTATGATTGCAATTAATTAATTATTTTTCTTTTCTTTTCTTTTTGTTTTATTTGAATGGGAGGGTAAAACCGTCATTTTATTTAAAAAAATGGATGAAAAGGAGCAATGAAAGGTGAAAGGTAGGGGTGAAAATGCTAAAAATGAAAGGTATGGATGCTTTGCACAATAACATTGAAATGTAGGGACCTTTTATACTAATTATGCTAAAAAATGAAATGTAGAGACGTTTTGCACAATAATATTGAAAGGTAGGGACCTTTTTGTACTAATTACCTTTTGATTTAACGGAGCATTTTAACATAGAGTTGACAGAATTCAGAATGATGTTTTGCGCAAAAAAAAAATTGTAAACGTGAGGGACGTTTTGTACTAATTACCCTATAATTTAATATCATTAGCGTTGCTAAACTATATTAAAGAGCGGTAGTGCTAAATTCCATTACTCTTGAATTAATAGATTGAATTTCTTATCACATGTTACACTCCTTGCACACGTGATATTCACAATCATCTTTTGCGAACGATATGGGCTGCTATCTTGATTGGTACTGACTATTACTTATGGCATGCAGTAACTTAAGAAACGCTTAATACTTCAGCCAGACAAATGACACTAATTATAGTGAACCAAAAATTGGGATATAAAATGCTCTGACTCAGCTTTCCCCATCAGGTGGGAAGAGCTATTATTAAGCATTTGAACTTCAGTCTGTCAGAAACCCAGGGTAATTAAACAGTCAACCTTTCGGAATTGCGACAAGTGACTATGCTTGTTATTTGATACACAGTTTTTTGAGATATTCTACCACACTGTCCGAATTCACCATAGAGAATTAAAAGTACCTCTTCAACAGAAAAGTTTAGAACACCATAAAAAAATTATTCATTTATTCGATAGAGCAACATTGACTTGAGAGCTCGATGAGTACTGTTACGTCTCTACCCATATGGCTCCACATAAGCGAAATTACATGCAAGCACTTCGTTCTGCGATGGGAGCATGGACTTTAGTGACGCCTTTCCTACCTTCGTGTCCAAGGCAATTAGGTCACATATCATTGCGTCGGCCACCTTCATTTTAAAGGGGTTGAGAGCACATCTGAGTACCTTGTCGACAACAACCTGTACGGTGATACAAATCACTACACATGGATACCTTCCAGTACCATAATGGAAGCTCCCACCTGGAAAACTTGCTACATGAAGAGCTAACTTAACGTTTTTATATAACCGGGAAGTCATGGGCTTAGTGAACTTCCTTACCCATGTGACACGGTAAGATTGCTTTTTGTGGGTTCAAAGTTGGTAAAAGTGCACTAACAGTGTTCCACAGGAGGTATGATTGCAAGCTTCCTACCCAAAGTTTATTGTGCTTATCTTATATCTTAGCTTGCCAGCTCGTGTGTGTGGAAAGGCTGCTTCGGGGACTGTTGGCGGCTTGGGGCCGAATGGGTAGTCCGTTTCAATTGGTAGTAGAGCACGTTTGTTTCAAACGTTGCATTGTTGGTTACCTAAGACTGATAGCGTGCGTTCCTGGGAAAATGATTTCGAGACCACCAAGGTGAAGCAAACTTGTAAGATACGCGGCAAAGCACAATTGGCTAGCTAGCAGAATTGATGGTGGAAAGCTTTGAGGATGATGGAAGTAGATGCATGCATTATGCAATTATGCCTATTGCACAAACATTTGTTTCATATAGCGTAAAAATGTATTGCAAAAGTAT